CAGAAAATAATCATCACAACGAAAGTCTTTTCATATTTAAAACCATTTAAAGATTACTCAACACAGTCAACTGTACTAATATTCACAATCAAGGAGAAAAACTCTCTCACTATAAAACAGACAGATCATATTCTCATTTTCTGTTTTACCAGAAATATACAAATTTACATCAATCCTTCACTTATATCCATCTGTGTGACTCATATTAGATAAAATCAAAAGTGAGACTTCTCTCTTAACCTCACTTTGATCCTAAATACTGTTCTTTTGGAATCCAGTTTCAAAAAAAAAAAAATAGGAATGTGAATGTCACAGAATTAAAGATAATAAAACTAAATGAGTACCTTTCAGACACAGAAGACATCAAAATGTACATATCTGTGTATTTGTAATTAAAATGTACTTCAATGCCTACATATTACTGATCACTAAATTTTCATAAGGTTGGAGGAGAAAAATTGCAGTGCAAATAATCATATCCTTAAATTTTGTATTTCATAGTGGTTATTGTCCTAGCATAAATCCTAAGAATTCTTTAGTCAGTAACAAGAAAAAGCAGCAGCTCAGTATTAATTACATCAGAACAAACATCACTGTTTTTGGCAGGTGTCCACTAATATCCACTGGCCTTTTTAATGAAGCCTATAGAACAGATCAAATCATTGTGCTATTTTGGAGGGGTTTTTTTAGCTTATTGATCTTGGCAGGCAGTCATTATATCACTAGATATCTTCTCAATCAACAGGTATTAAAAGTAAAACTATTATGGAAGATTCTTGGAAACATCTTCATGTAAAAAAGTTAGTCAAACAGAGTGGGAACAACTATTCTAATACATCCATGTCCCATTCATCTAGATTTTCTGAGTTCTGTCACTAAATTAAATCAGAGCTTTTGAAAGTGGAGTCCCCAGCTCACAGTAACTCAATTGCCCCTCTGATAATATTACCTTCACTGAGTAATGATTCAATGTCATATTCTGTCCACTGGTAATATAAAAAAATAAAGATATGGTCTGTCTACTTAAACATTGCTTCTATATTTTTCCATAAATTGCAACTGAAGGCATCAGTGTTTTTCTTTCTTTTTTTTTTTTTTTTTTTGAGACGGAGTCTCGCTCTGTCACCCGGGCTGGAGTGCAGTGGCCGGATCTCAGCTCACTGCAAGCTCCGCCTCCCGGGTTCACGCCATTCTCCTGCCTCAGCCTCCCGAGTAGCTGGGACTACAGGCGCCCGCCACCTCGCCCGGCTAGTTTTTTGTATTTTTTTAGTAGAGACGGGGTTTCACCGTGTTAGCCAGGATGGTCTCGATCTCCTGACCTCGTGATCCGCCCCTCTCGGCCTCCCAAAGTGCTGGGATTACAGGCTTGAGCCACCGCACCCGGCCGGCATCAGTGTTTTTCATTTAGCATTCTATATACAAGGATTCTCACAAATGTCAAAGATTCACATTTTGGTTGAATTAGGTTTAGAAAAAAATTTTGTTTCTTAGTTTAATCTTCCTGCCATTAGAAAATAAAAATATGAAACACTACAGATTTCTATCTTTAAACTGGTGCTTACAAAACTTAGAGCCAAATTTAGCCAAATTTATTTAAATTGAGTTAAATTTCAGCCAAATTTAGTGCTTGAGTGTAATGATCTTTCATAAAAAAGTTCTTCCTTCCACTTCTTTTAGATAAACTTAGTTTTTTTTTTTTTTTCATTTCTAAATGTTTTCATGTGCTTCTGCACTGGAATAATCTAATAGCTACTTCAGTATTTCAGAAGTAAGCTATGTATAATTCTTAAATACATGAACAAATGAAACAATTGCGTTTTTTTCTCCTGCCTCTTTTCATTTAATTGCATACCTAGGTGGGCATAAAAACGCAAAAACTATCACATTAAGCATATTATTAATTTAAAAGGTAATGGTAGTTGATAATGATTTGGCTCTGTGTCCCCATCCAAATCTCATCTCAAACTGTAATCCTCATGTGTCAAAGGAGGGACCTGGTGGGAGGTGACTGAATGATGGGGTGGTTTCTCCTATGCTGTTGTTGTGATAGTGAGTGAGTTCTCACGAGATCTAATGGTTTTACAAGGGGCTCTTCCCGCTTTGCTCTTGTCCCTCTTGCCACCATGTGAAGAAGGTCCTTGCTTCCCCTTCATCTTCTGCCATGACTCTAAGTTTCCTGAGCTCTCCCCAGCTATGTGAAACTGTGAGTCAATTAAATCTCTTTCCTTTGTACTCAGTCTTGGGTATTTCTTTATAGCAGTAACTAGCACAGTAGTTAAAAGTATCCAGAATTCCTGGATTTAAATTCTGCTTTTCCACTTAGTAACCTTATGACCTAAGGCAAGTTTCTGAACCACTTTTTATCCTCTTTGATCTTCAATTTACTCATTGGCAAATGGAATAATTCCACATCTGCCTAATTGGTTTGTGAGAATAAACACATGCAAAGTTCATAGTATAGTGTCCTGCATATGTTAGCTAATATTATGATGATTACATATTAATAATTTAATGTTTTACACATTAAGTTACAGAATGTTTCTCTCCATTATCTAATCTATATCCTCTTATGAATTTTATTGCATCCTACGAAAATCCATATATTGACATCCTCATCCATAGTACCTCCGAGAATAACCTTATTTCAATATAGGATCTTACCCATGGAATTAGTTAAGATGAGGCCATAAGAGTGGCCCCAAGTCCGTTATGACTGGTGTACTAGTAAAAAGGGAAATTTGGGCACAGGAATGCTTACAGAAATAATATAATGTAAAGATGAAGGTAGTGATCAGATGATGCTTCTACTTGCCACGGTACAGCAAAGATTGCCAGCAAACCAACCAACAGAAGTTAGGGCAGCAGCATGAAGTATATTTTCCCTCACAGCCTTCACAAGGAACCAATTCTGCCATCACCTTGATCTCAGACTCCTAGGCCCCAGAAATGTGAGACAATAGATTCCCATTGTTTAAACCACCTAGTATGTGGTTCTTTTTTACAGGAGCACTAGAAAACAAATAGAACCGCTACACTCTATAAGGTGGTTATTATTGTAGACTAGAAAACTGAAGTTCAGAGAGAGATGAAATAAATCACTTAAGGTGACAGCTAATAAATGAAAGCTTGGGATTCAAACCCTGGTTACGTTACTCCAAGACCAAGGATTGAAAAAAATATCACCGCTGAGAAATTTAAAAAGCTGAAAGTGGAATGTAAGTCCCCATATAATTTCTTACAATTTTTTAATAGTTATGTAGCTGCTAAAACAGTATAACAAAAAGCAATCTCATAATAGTTGACCACTTTTAGTCAAGAAAAAGCAGAACAAGATTTATAGATATCTATATTTTCCAATGAGAAGCTTTTTTGATAAGAAGAGCCTACAGTATTTTTTTTTCTGCATATTACTACAGCATATAAATACAGAAGTACTGCAAATGGCACATAGAGAAGATATATGGACAGTATTTAATACAACTGTGGTGAAACATATTTTTATAGCTGGCTTTCCTACAATGTCGTACAGAAAAGAGTAAATCCATGAACAAGCCAATGAGAACCAAATAATGGTATGAAAATAAAGCCAGACAAACTATTAATATAAATGTGCTCTGAGATTCCTAGAAGCAAGGACAAACAGTTAAGCATACTTCATATAAAGACCATGACGTGAAAACAAGTCAGTGATTCACAGGTATCAGTGAAATAGATGATAGATACATTATCTAGTACAGGCATCTGAGAGAATTTATTAATTACCAGGATTAGCAGTGAGTTACGTCTACAGATTATACTGTCTCCAATAATATGATTATTATGTCGATTTCAGAACAAGACAACAGCATGCTGCCAAAACATTTGTAGATTAATGCAGGTTTAAAAGATGCCAACTCAATAAAGACTCAAAGAAGTAGCTCTCAGATGCTCAAGAATAAACATTTGTTTGTTTGTTTGTTTGTTTTGAGATGGAGTCTTGTCTGTCACCCAGGCTAGAGTATAGTGGTACAATCTTAGCTCCTTGAGAACTCGCAAACTCCACCTCCCAGGTTCAAGTGATTCTCCTGCCTCAGCCTCTCGAGTAGCAGGAATTACAGGCGCCTGCTACCATGCCCAGCTAATTTTTGTATTTTTAATAGAGATAAGGTTTTGCCATATTGGCCAGGCTGGTCTTGAAGTCCTGACCTCAAGTGATCCACCCACCTCGGCCTCCCAAAAGTGTTGGGATTGCAGGCGTAAGCCACTGCGCGTGGCTCAAGAATAAACTTTACAAGAGGTCTCTTATTTTATATTAGCCCAAAGCAAAACTGATCACCTTGAATTAAAGACCAAAGAGGTTTAACATCCTCTTAGGAAAATAAAACCACTGGGAGGACCAAGTATTCCTTCATAAAATAGTTTAATGTCTGCTGTAGCTCTTAGCAAAGTTAATGAATCAGGCCCCAAAGTTCTATCTGAGATCTCAGTAACTGTCTTTCTTTGTCCACTGAGGCCATACAAAGAAATACAGAAATTAAAGCCACCCAGAGAATATTTATTTTTAAGCCAGTAGCTTCTGGCAAATATAAGCCATTCAAATACCCAAGGCCCTGGAACAGTTTTATTTTTTAGCTCTGTTTTGAACCATCCAATCTTACACAAATTAAATACTCTTTTGAGACCACTCTACCATACTAGCTATTACAAAGAAGTGTAGTTTTTCTATTCTCAAAACTGGGCATAGGGGAGACATTTTTCTATCTCATGCAGAGAAGTCTTCAAGTCATTCCCATACAAATTAAAAAGAAGGGGTGCTAAATGCATTGTTCTGCTCAAAATGATTAGTTTTTCAGATGTCCATGCTTGTTCCTTTTCCGGTATCTATCATCTCCTGCTTTGAAGCCCTAAATCTCAAAACTTAAAATTTATACCATCTTTGTTCTTTCTTTGTTTTGGTCCTCCTCCCCTCTCTGCACAAGCCCTTCCCGCCTGCCATACTTCCCATCCTGAACCAAACTTACCTCCTGTCTGAGTGATGACTTGTATGTCACCTGAAAGTGGACCATCTCCAATTGAGGTAAAAGCCAGGACTTTGACAGAATATGTTTTCTGGGGCACTAAGTTGCCAATAGTAGTGATTTGGCTGTCAGCTACATTGTGTTTCATCCAGTTGTTCACATGTTGAGTGGGATCCATTGTATAATAAACTCTATATCCTTGGATCTGTCCATTCGGCTCTTCAGGTTCCTTCCACTGTACCAAAATGGTGGTAGAACTCAACATTCTTGCCTGGACATCCCTTGGGGCACTGGATGGCGCTTGCTCTGAGGTCTGTGTCAGCACAGGTTCGCTGGGAGGCCCCCGCCCAATGTTATTGACAGCAACAACCCTGAATTCATAATCCGAGTAGGGACTTAGTCCAGCGACACTGTAGCGTGTGGTCGCCACCCCATCAATTTCTTTGTAAGGTTCCTCAGAGTTTTTAGGTTTATGCTGAATTATGTAATAAGAAACAGGCTCAGGGTTCCCAGAGTCCCACGTCAGTGTGATGCTTGTAGCTGTGCTCTCGGTCACTACAGGAGTTCCTGGAGGTTTGGGTAAGGCTTGGATGGGGGAAGATAAAAGACAATGACTACCCATCATCCCTAGAATGTTTCAAGAATCTATAAACTCTACTATGAAAATGACAGGATTATGTGTCTACTGAAGATTTAATTAAATGAAACTACAGCAAAGAGTAGTTTTCTGAGTGGCCAGGAAGTACAGTAAAACATACATAGGTGACACAAATACTGCTTCACTAGAAGGGCTTGATAGCATATTTTTAGGCTTGTATCCAAATCCTCTACTCATTAGCTAAGTGATCCTGCATGCATTCCTTAACCTCTCTTTGCTTTAATTTCCGCATGTGAAAATGGGAAAAACATTATTATTTAAGTTATATTCTACAGCTGTATGTAACTGTATTTCATGGGTTTGCTGTGAAGATCAATGAGCCAATCCACTAAGATTCTTAGAATGTATCTGGAACTCACACAAAACCTTAGTATTAGCTGCAGTTATTACTATTATTATACCAAAAGCTTGGCCAATTAGCCCCTTGCCCCAGTAAATAAACGGTAAAACTGAAATACCAATAAACATTGAAAAGAACAAAATGTGGAATACACTAAAAGGAAATTAAATTGCTATGAAAGAATAGCATCTATATTGTTGTAAGACATAGTACCATTACTAAAAATTTTCTTGTAAATAAACGAACCAAAAATTTTAAGGTGCAAAAGAATAGAAATTCCAAATCAATGTTTTATTCTTAATATTTAAAATTGCTGAAGGAACTAAATTAAGGCACATTCATGAACCACTTTTTAAGGTATTTTATTGTCATATTAATATGCATTCTATATGCCACATCAGAAATATCTGATGTAGCTACGCAACAAATATTTGCAATAAAATCCATCTTTTTAGAGGTCTAATTGTTTCTTTTTGGCAGAAGAATACAAATAAAAATACTACTAATTAAAAATACAAACTGTCTGCCTTGCTGACCTCATATTCAAGTGCCTTATTCTAAACAATGATTCTGAAAGGCAGTGATATTAGGGTAGGAAGGGGCATTCTAATAGTTGTCTCTTTAGAGAAATCCCAAAGGGTAACATTCATATAATCAGCCCTTTAGTGTCCCTGTTTCCCTGTTAACATAAAGGCAAGAAGTATAACACCCCCTAGAATGGCAGCTGTTCAAGAGCAGCAAACTCGTACTTCTGACTTGCTGTAAAATCGTGAATGCCTAGAATGCTGCCTGGCACTCGGTAAGCTTTTAATGAGAATTGTTAAACAGTTAACTGAATAAATGAGTCGGCACCTATTCTTCTCACTCTCTTCAACCCGTTCTTTTGTTTTGATTTATTTTAATTTGCCATTAAGATTCACCCTTATGTTTTATTTGTTTATTTTTGAGGTGGAAATCACAGGGAAGTGACACGAGTCAGGAATACAAAGACAAGAAGGTGAACAAAATATTAGTTGAAAGTGGCCCCTGCTTTTGAATTCTTAAAAGTCTTCAGCAAATCTTCAAATATTTAAAGCTGAAATGGTAATTATAAAAAAGGTGATTCAATATTTACACACTACTCAAGGAACTACAGAATGATAATATTTTGCCAAGGGAATTTACTGAAAATAATAATAAAATTAAATTTGTTTAAATATTCTGGCCTGGCATTTTTCAAGGCTCTGTGTGATCCAGATTTCCCCTACATGTCTTTCTGAACTTTCAAAGCAAATACAAATATTGCTAATTAAAGTTGTGCTCACTGATATTTAGCTGACATTATCAGTTTCACTAAGTCACATTTATTGTACAGTACAGGTTTTATATCTGTAATGTACAGATAAATACATGTGCGCTTATTATGTTAAGTTTATACAACACAACATTATTTCACACAATTATAAATATTGACAATGTGTACCTTTGTTCTCATGTCATTAGTTTTATATAGCACATATTTGATATATATGCTTGGTTAGAGATACGACACCAGTTATAACATGTGTATTGCATTTTCTAAGATCACATCTAAGAATGGCAGCTTTTTAAGAGTAGCAAACTCATACTTCTCTGACTTGCTGCTGAATTCCGAATGCCTACAACTTTGCCTAGGAAAGGAAGATAATTTGTGTTCATTTTGCAATAGTTCTAGCCATTTGCAGAAAACTTAAGTTGCCCTATGTCTGATTCAATTTGCAAACACTTTCTCAAATTCTATAAATACTGGGAAAAAAACAAACAAACTGGTATCCTCACATACTTGTACTCTTTTTCTCTTTGGTTCAAAAATATTCATGTAATACGGTACTTGGGTGATATTTAGTCTGTTTTCTAAAGGAAAGAATATTTCCTGAGCACTCATCTATGCAAGGTGAAAGATAAAACTAAAACAGAATATACTACTACTTGCCTCTTGATTTCTAACAGTAGGGCCTGCCAAAAAGTTAAATAATCTATTATTAGACTATGTTGATTTCAACTTTTTTCTTCTTTTTCCTTTGTATTTAGAAATTTTAAGCATTTATTAATGCTCATATTGACTTTTCTTGGGGTTCTTATCAAGGTTCTGTTCTAGTATGTAGACTGTACACATCAGTCCCACCATAATGGTTGACCATGTCTAAAATTCCTAGTTCTGTCTGGTTAGTGCCTGGGCCTCCATGAACTGTCTTTTAATATTTTGATGATTACCTCTACATAGGCTGCCAGATACTTCCAAGAAAAAATCCGCCTATCTAAGCTTATGCATCTTATATAATACCACAGATATGATTAGGTTATACACACATTTAAAACTCTGAATAATGAATTATTTTAGATTTTCAAGGATGGGCTTCCTACAGGCATCAATCACTTGGCTTAAGCGTACCCAGATCCTCAAAGCATGATCCATTGAGCATACCTTTGACAGTGATCTGTGCTATTGCTTCAATGACACCCAGTGTCGACATAGCAACACAGGTGTAATTTGCTGACTGTCTTACATCATTCAGTTCTAGCACATTTCTTCCTATTGGCATATCATCTTCAGGTGTCAGATCTTCTGCCCCCAACATCCACTTTACATAAGGCATTGGTGACCCCACGGCCACACAGGTGATATTAACGCTTCCACCTGGCATGATTTCATGATTAGTGGGTGGGATAGAGAATCTTGGTGGGACACGGCGAACTGGAACAAAACACAAGGGAAATGATAACATATACAAGGCAAGAAAAAGTGGATTATTAAACACATGACATGCACCGTACAGACACGATTCAACAATTGAAACATATTGTGGATTGTCCGAAAACAAAACATAAAGAAAAACTGTGGATAATACAGACCATACAAGTATGGTGTGCGTATACACAGAATTATTTAGTTTAGTCATTGATATCTTAGACACACTCATACAAAAGTTGATTCAGACCTACAAGGGCCCCACAAAAAACTATCTACAAACTAACAATACACAAACATCATGCATAAGATAAACACAAAAACATATACATGCAGGCATATAACAATGATTCTATGCAGGCATGTATATGCAGAAAAGGGAGCTGGAAGGTCACCAGCATGTTTAAGTTGAGTATCAAAACCAACTTCAGTGCTGTGCACTTCCAGTTGATGTGAATGTAGGTGTGGGACCACACTGTCACATCCCAGCCCTGGAAAACATCACCTACAGTACACTGAAAGTGCACTTTATGTTTTCAGATTCATAGTGGATGCAGCCTCAAGACCTCACACTAACACTGGAACAAACACAGAAATGTATATACATATTGATTTGCAGTCACAGAAGAAGAAACAGGCTAACACCAGTAGAGATACTGGATTGGGTCATGCAAGGCATGCACAAGATGGAATCTCAAGGCCCGTGCTAAGGATATTGAAAGAATGGCTGGAATCCAAGACAGCAATGACAGCAGAAGAAGTAATGGGGCAATAGAAATAAACACGAAAGGGGGAGGTAAAGTATAATGATTGAAATACAGAGATGTAGGGGATGACAGGGTTGAAAGATAGATTAGGCTCAAGTTGTTAAAGGTAAAGATTTCAAATTCAGAAAAAGAGATGGGTGTTTCACATACAGGATTCCATTCAATTCATATCTAAGGTAAAACAACATAAATGACAACAAAATCTTCTAAAAGGCTTTTTATGCCCACATTCAAATTGAGAGACATTGGGAAAACATACAGCAGGACATGACATTAAGAGAAGAGATCATATTAAAGCAACATAACACAGAAAAATTACCAAGCAATTAAAGTTCAGTGTTCCTGCTTCAGATAATTTGCAGGTTTATGTGTGTTTAAGTAAATGCGTTTTAGATGCGATACAAGGAGAAGGTGAGAGAGAAATTGGTTTCATCTGGGGCTTTTACTGGCAAAACGTCATACCATAAGAATTTGAGCTCTAGAGGGTAATCTTTAGGAGCACACCTTAAATACATTTAATAAAGTGATTTTAAAAATTATAAATAAACTGATAAATAACCTCATAACCCCAAGAAGAAGATAAGTAATTCTGTCTGAAAACTTTTTGGCTGCACTTAAAGTCAAGATAAACCTCCGCTGATTTGAGATGGCTCACTGCAATGGCCTCATGGGTGAATGACAGTCATGGGAGAAGAAGAGAAAGCTAAGCATGCCTCCTGCAGTCAATTCACAGAAGTTACACAAAGCAAGCAGGAGCCAGTGTAGACTCTGAGGTATCAAAGAACATATCAAGAAAAATGGAGGAGAGTTTAGTCTTCATGCTTGGGATTAGGGGAGAAACTAGAAAAAGTCATTCTATGGGCAGCAGGCATCCTTATAAGACAGAAATTAAAGGCGGGGTGGGAGACGGGGAGAGTGGAGCAGGAAGGAAAGCAGGAACACTGACCAAGTTAACTGGACTTTAGAGAGTTAAGTGTTACCAGTTACCATGCACCCAGGTACATTCTCTCCCATCATGCACCACAGTTAGATACCACCAGCAAGCACCAGAAGCCATGGCCAGGGCATTCTCTGCTAAAACATACCATTAACCAAAAGAAGAACACAATGCAGCTACATTCATTTCATTTGTATTCTTTGTTATTGGTTTAATTAATAGTTTTGTAAGGTGGGTAAAAAGTAAAAAACACACCAACCTTCTCGCAGCTCTGAGGGATGTAGGGGGTTTGATGCAGAACACAATGAAATGAGGAAAGGAGAAAAACAAGGGAAACACAGAGAGAGTAAAAAGGCCATATCAAGGCTTTCAACTGCTACTTGAACATCTTTATTCGCTCTAGTTCATCCTTTCTACCTCAGCTGGAAAAGTTAGCAATATCTCACAGACTACCATGGTATTAGAAACAATAGCTAGCATCATTTTGAAATTTTCCATGGAAGAAGGTACACATGCCTCATGCAGCAAGGGAGGTCACTATTGTGGAAAAAGGATCAAGGGACTTTCAAAGAATTTAGAGAAGAAACGGCTTTCTTCATATTTCCCCACCCCAGACTCCATAAAAAGAAAGGAGAGAAAAACATCCCCAGGGAAACAAAATTACCTCTAACAAAAATTTCAAAATCAAGCTAGGTATTTTCTTAAGGGAACCCATCCTATTGTAACTTAAAGCCCTCTCAGTCTTTAATTTAATCCCACCCCCACCCATGCCTTCGTGGTTATTCACAGATATGTAGACCAAGAATAAGAACACTTCCACTAGACAAAAATAACTACAGGAACTGGCTTTGAGAACTCTCGGGAAGCGGAAGTACTTCATTCTAGCTGAGTGGAAAGGCATAGCCATTCATAAGCTCAAAATTTAATCATTTCTATTACTTCATGAGAACATATGAATGTATCCTTATAATTCATTCTTGTCTCAAGGACAACTCACGTTACTATTTAAAATACAGTTTTCCACGGCAATCAAAACACTAAACATTTCGGTAAGTCTTAACAATTCAAAAAAGGTGTACGTATGTGCACATATATGAATACACATGTGTATATATACATATAATACTATGTGTTTATAATTAAGAAAGTATACAAAGAAAGAAATACAACTGTGCTATTTGCATGTAGCATTTATAGAGTTAGCAGCTTTATCCTTACAGTTTCAGCAGCAGGGGTCATGAAGACATAAACACCTTTATGCTTGGAATTGCACAGAGAACTGATTAGTAGCACACCAAGCAATTATTTCAGGGGTTTAATAAGGAAACAGAAGAGAAACAACAGAAAAAAAAGAGAAAGAAAAAGAAGAAAACCTCAAACAAATGCAAAGCACAGTTCAATCAATGCAGCAAAAATAGAAACCAAGATGTAAAAATGCAAATATACTTACAAACTTCAAGCCTCGGGATAAGTTATACTCAAGAGTTGTCTTTTGGAGTTAAACAACATGTTTTAAATTTTTAACTTTTCTATTTACTAACTTGTTTCCGCTACTGTCACTATTACCAAATCAGCTTGTTAACGACTAATATAACGACACGGACCCTGCGGCGTCTCAACTCCCCCTGAGCCTGAATGAAGAAGCGATGCCAGGGTTATGTCATTCCTACCTCTGACATATAAATTGGCAGGAGCGGAATAGCGAGTGCCCGCGCTGTTGGTGGCAACACACTCATATTTTCCTTGGTCAGACTCTTCACTCTGCTCAATCTGAAGAGCTCCTGTAAGGATATAAAATATATTGCCAAAGAGATGATCAGAGAAGGCTTTCTCAGTTCAGAAAGCTAAACCTCTTAACAATATGAAAAGCCCTGCAAAGCGAAGGTCCACTCAACGTCGATTCAATCTCTTGCTAAGTTGCACAGACAGAAAATGATGCGATGAGAAAAACATACAGAGATTATTTTTTTTACATCATCAATGCTAGCATTAGAAAACAATATCTCTTTTCCCAAGCAAGACTTCTAGTCATAATTAACACTCTTATTTCCTAGACTAATAAAATGAAGATGGGTGAGACTGCTTCAAGGAAGTATGGCTTTTAAATAAAACAAAAGATTAATTTTTGGTTTTGTTTTGTTTCATTTTGGTACCAAAAGTGGCGCAAAAGATAGGTACGCACAAAAAAACCAGGCTGGGTTTTCAAGAAAGTCTTCTGCTGAAGAAAGCCAAAAATACGCAGCGAGCACAAAAAGGCTGCACAAAGCAAAAAATTAAAATTAGTCATTATAAATTATCAAAATATCACTTAAAGAAACAAAACTCCCTTAAGACATGCAGATTTTTAAGAAAAGAAAGACAGTTTTCCACGACTTACAATCATTTATTACATTTGCTGAAAAACAAAGAGCAGTTGAATTAGAAGATTTTTAAAAAGTTAAAAGGCATGGCCTGTGCCACAAGGAAGAGCCAACCAACCACTGCTTGAGGACCCTGAGATGGATCCCCTAAGACACCCATCAAAATCCACCAGTGGGATTAGCAGTGTGGTGTCACAAAACCCCGAGAAAAATACAAAACAAGAATTACAAAAGAAATGCACACTGAGTCAAAGTATGAAAAACCAGCAATACCACATACCACCAAGAATACTGAGCACCTTTTGTTTCCATAGCCTGAAGGACGGAAGATCCAAAAATCCGGAGACGAGTAATCCAAGAAAAAAAGAAGTGGGGAAAAAAGCATTGCTGTCAGATTGGAGACGAGTGGGATCAGGTGGAAAGGGGAGTCATTCTTTGACTTTTAAGACATTAAGAGAAAAAAGAATTGAAGAACAAAAGCAAAAACCTTTTGAAAGATAAAGACAAAAAGCAGATGCTCCAGGGTGTCCTCTGCATGTCTGCCACTGTTCCCCAGACCACCTTGGCTTTGGTCCAGAACAAGAACAGCTAAGGAAGAAAAAAAATGATCTTTTTTTTTCTCCGGTTGGACAAAAAAAAAGGAAAAAGAAGAAAAAAAAAGAAAAAGGAAAAAGGAAGAAGAAGAAAAGGAAAAAAAGAGGGACAGATGGTACGCTGTGACTGGTCTGTGGTCTAAAGACCTGGATATGCTTTCTTTGAAGCATATCACAACTTAAATAATCATTTTCATAAAGAAAGAAATGAACAAAACAAAGAGAGAAAGAAAAAGGAAAGGAAAGTTCACAATATGAGAGTCACTGATCATAACCAAACAGTACAAAGGAAAAAAAAAAAAAAGTTGATGGACATTATCGGAATGATACTGAAAACAGGACAAAGATGAGAGGGATGAAAGGACAGAAAGAATGAGTAAGATCATTCTGTGAACGTTAGTTCAGCACTCTTACCTCTTATTGGTGTACCACCTGGGTGGATAATATGAATGCAAATAAGATTAGAAAGAAGAAGCATTAGTACGAGAAGAAGGAGGCTAGGGCTGGGGAGAAGAATTAAATTAGATTTACAGAATTAAATAAGGTCTTAAAAGAAACTTGAATTACTATATTGGTAAAACAGGAATATATTAGATAGTATTATTAGATCATAAAAAACAAGTTGCATTATACCACAGAGGGTAAGGACCGCAATAGGCAGCATTGCCTTTCTCAGAGAAGCAACTGAGTTCTCAGGTCTGGGGTCATATAGGGTTAGAATTGTATCTTATATGCCTCATATCTCTTAAAAAACACTAGACAATATTTTTAAAGACATAGTTTAGGAAAACACTGGCTAATCTATTTAAGTATATATATAGATATGCAATATATATATATACTGTGATAGGAAACGCTAAAGACTAACTGGAAACAAACACTGTTGATGGGATATCTTATACTACTTGCTATGCTACATTGGTGTGCCATAACTTGTGTACTATTTAATTTTTCTACACAGTGTTCTTACGATAACAGTTCTGTGGAGGTGTGTGTGGGCGCCACTACAGAGATCTGGTGTCTACACTGACAGTTAGTAAAATGCATGCCATGCATTTTATTAATAATAATAATAATATTCTGGATATGGAAATTAGTGGGGTTGAAGTGCGCTTCAGAACTAAGCACTTACCAATAGATTCTGGAGATTTAAATACGGAGAGAAGAAAGACAGCATAAAAATATTATTATATTCCTTATAATTTGGTACAAATTTTTCAGAGTTAAAGCTTTATATACTAAATCATCTATGTTACATGTGAATAATTAATTCTTTATTTACAATAACAGAATGCTAATCTACACAATTCTGCTGACAACAAGCAAAAGAGGCAGTTAACAAGACGCTTTAACATCACAGGACAGGTCAAAAGCTGAGAATTCTGGGAAGACAGGCAGTTAAACAACTTAGAATTCTATACCAATATTACTACCAATGTCAAAGTAAACAGCTTATTATTATATGTCCCTGTGAAATTACCTAGGGACAGGCTCTAAAATTTAAGAAATTTAGAATTATCTCTACTTTTAATCTAAGAGAGCAAAGGCATAAACTTGGGATGGGAATGGGAAAAGGAGAAAAGGGTAAAGAGAGAGAGAAAACAGCAAAAGCTGGAGTCTACACCAAAAGCAGACTTCTGTAGATCCAGTCACTGGAGGGTTCAAAAACCTTGATGGGCGCACACTACTGTGGCTAACGTGTAGAAAATGTTCACTCACAATGACATTATCATAGTATTAATAAAAATCCCCTCCTTTTACTGGTAAAGACTTTAAAAAAATACATCTGGTTACTCATGAGATAACGTTTCTGTGTTTGATGTATTAGTGAAAAGAAAGCAGATGTGCCCAGACTTACTAAACTTTGGTACTTTGATGAGTTCAAATGTAGAAAAGACAACAGAAAACATACTTTAATAAAACTGAATCATTTTAGGGTTTAACATGAACATTTTGTTTTTTAATGGATACAACCATTGGAACTCCTTGCAAGTTCTGAATGAAGTCCAATGTTGAAATAAATTTGTTTCAAAAGAAAACAGAGAAAGAAGAAAGAAAGAGGAGAAAATGGATCCATCAAATACTGCGAAAAAGCAGTAAATTAAAAAATTATCAAAAATACAGTCACAGCAGTGAGCAATGTGGATTAAACAGAAGCTGCAAAACACACAGAGAAAAGGAGAAAGACAGACTCTGAAACAGGCTATGACATCACAAACATGGACCACCCATTAAGTAACAGAGAAAGAGAAGAGGGAGAAAAATCAGTACCTAGAAATAAAAAATAAATAAAATTAAAATTAAAAATAGAGAGAAAAATTAAAAAAAAAAATTCTCTAGGAGTTAGTAGAAACAGTAACAAGACCCTACCTGATCGTAACTGCTTAATACGACCATTGTTGTTGCTTGTGTCCACGGGTAAGAAATCTTTAAACCAAGTGATTTCTGGATCCGGATTACCACTGGCTGCACAAAGCATGGTGGCCGTGCGAGTACGCTCAACCACCTTCAACTGTGGGCCCATGTCAATGGTAGGGAAGCCCCTGGGAATTTGATCTTCTGCAAGACAAAAGGTGATAGAAACATTCAGTTAGTAAGTCAGATGCTCCAAATTCAAGAGATTCCCCAGAAATCTCTCTTTACCTTATTCAGTGCTTGTTGAGAACCTAACACAAACCAGGCACTAATAAATTAGAACGCAGTCACAATGCTGTTACTGATCGGAAGAGTAAACAGTCTATGTAAGAGGCGAACAGACTAACACAGAACTCAGATGGGGCTGACTACGATGAGGGGATGCAGTGAGAGCAAAGAGGGAGAAATAGTTATAACATTTGTGCTTGAGATCAGTGAGTAGAGGAAGCTTTGATTTAAAGTTGGCATTTAGGAAAGAGCACAATCGGCCAAGTCACAAAAAGGGGAGAAGGAGATTTTAGAAAGATCCGGGAATGTCACAAGTGTAAGCATCGAGGTAGGAAAGGTTTTGCTGAGAGAAGCATGGAAGCCAGCAGTGCCAGCATGGAGAGTGCATGGGGAACAAGCGGAAGCTGGATCATGCTATCTCTTTCAAAGCTGGTATGTTTTTCTTGTAACTCTATTTTCCCACACAAGCATAAGGTTCAACCCAAATTGATTACTTTGTAAGAGTTTCAATTAACCGGAAAATTGTCTGAGGTTGCTTTACAAAAGAAGAGCAAAAGCAACTCCTTATGAATGGCACAAAAGCACATGTTCCTTACAGGGATAAGAGAATGCTTTCTTCCATCCCAAAGACCTGCACCATTTTCAGTAATTAAAAAGTTGAAATTCCTAAATTTTGAATCTCCAACTCACGCAAAATTCACTTCTTGCTACCCACATCAAAACTGTTCCAGATCCTAGCTCTTGAGAAATTAAAGTCGCTTAAATCCCACAATCATGCTCCGCACTGATAACTGACATCGCTGGCTCTTCTAGCCAGGATTAGAAAGGTGTGTTCTATCTAAGCATTGAAGGAATTTTACTTAGATGGGTGGCAATTATCCAAATTAGAACATGGCCATTTGTTTGAAGATCATGAATGTTTTAAATTATACTTTAAGTTCTAGGGTACATGTGCACAATGTGCAGGTTTGTTACATATGTACACATGTGCCATGTTGGTGTGCTTCACTCATTAACTCGTGATGATGAAATATTTTTACTTCCAATTGAGTCTGGCATTGATTTAATCAATACCCCCTCACAGCCACTGATAAATTTTCATAAGCCACCAATTCTAAAATGACTGGAAAGCATAAACAGCAGTGAGGAAAACATTAGGTATCATCAGATCTGGCATATCGCTTCTCCCTGGATGCCTCCTACAAGCTCCAGTATAATCCCTGAATCCACAGTTGATGGTGAATCTTACCGAGGTTATGTTACAATTTCTAATGAAGAAGCTCCATTTTGATGCCTCCACCGTGTTGTCAGTCAACAGTACATGTTCTCCAATTCTCTCCCTCTGGAGCCGAGCGGTAAACACAGTCTCTCAAACCTCACTAGCAAAGTCCTTTTCAATCAGGTCTCATTTTCCTCAGCCTCTTAGGGATCGCCTCTCTCATAGGAAATTTTTCTTCCGCCCACATTGAAATTCTCACCACTTCCCAGACAAATCATGTCTGCTGGGTACTCTATGCCTCTAGGAAGCCATGCAGCCAAAGTCACCTTCTTTGTAAATCTTTTCCAAATCCTCTCAAACATATTTCATTCTTTCCTCCTCAGAGCTACCATAGCAGCGGCTACTCAAATCCACTGTCTTGTACTTATTAACTCACAATTTTATCCCTCCACACCAGGAGTTCCTCCATGTCTCATCTGTATTCTGCTCCTTTGCCATCACGCTAGCCTGGGTTTCCAGATTTTAAGAGAAACTCCAGTGATTCCCGAGCCTAAGTATGAATATATATCAGTGACTGTTTAAAAATATATATATATCCTACTATGCAGAACTTCTGGTAGAGAGACAACCAGAAAAATAGTTAAGGACCGGAGAGATTTTGAATGCGAATGGTGAAAGAATGTAAGATGCTACCAAAGATTAAAGCTCCCAAGACAGACAAATTTCACTGAACAACAGGTGCAGTTATTGTAAGATAAAATTGATGGACTATTAAGGAAAAGTGTAGACTCTGGCTCTCCTGCTGGGTAGGGTAGAAAGTATATATTTTTCACTAACACAGTCTGTGAAAGACCAAAAGAAGCTGAGGCAAGTTTGATTTGCCACCTGATTCATGACAGAATACCTTCCTATCAGACCAGGTAGTTAGGACTGGGTACTAAAGACACTTATAAAAATAATTAACTGCAATGAGCTAAACTTCACTTAAGTTGAAAGATGTGGCTCATTTGTGGAAGCAGTAATATGTTGTTTTTGTGAATGTTTACACATCATCAGCCAAGCAGAGGTCTACAGTAGATAAGTGTCAGGAACAGTAGTTAAAAATGGAATTTCAAGGCTCCAAGAGAAAGTTAAAAATTAAAAGTGGGATGCAAATCAGGCTATGCTGGTTTTAATAATCTATTCCACTTGAATTTCATCAGGCTGTTCTTTATGTCTTTAAAGGTTTTGCCAATATATTTACATCAACAACATAGTTCTGATGTTGTATGGGGGAAAAAACAGCAGAAAGATCAATAGCTGCTATACCACACACATTATATTATTAAATAGCTCACTTGGCAGCTATTGACACAAAGTGCTTCAAAGGATAAAAGTAATTTACCTCAAGTGCTCCAAAGCCAACTATACCGCCTTCATAGAAATGAGTTTCTGAAAAAGCTCTTAGATTTTGTTGTTGTTATGTTCCCTTTTTAAAGTAACCAACTTAGGTTAATCAAAAATCATCATGGGATTCCTGAGTGGTTTCTGTATGTCCTAGGACACTGTATCTCTCCCATGGTGTTTAAGCACCAGTTACATTTGCCTGCATAAATATTGCTCTGCTAATCATTACTTTTCTTCTACAAGTTCATCTCTCAGAAGAACTGAGCCAATATTCAGTGCTGATCAGTGGCAAGTACCAAAGGCTTAAGAATTGTTGAGCCACTTACTAAAGGCTCTTACCAAAGAAATCTAGATTTAATAACCGTTTATAAGAAATAAAGTCCTCACCTTGGGGATAGCCAACAAAATTGACTTATGCCCTCCTGAAAAGCGGTCTAATACATTTTCATGACCTTTCTTTTCCTTCCTGGCTCATAAAGAACACTCCAGAGCCCCCTTTTCATATACACGAGTGCACAACAAAGATAATCTTTGTTGCATACTAATGGGACAGAAAATGTAAAGAGCGTTCCTTTCTTATTTTTAATAAGGGTAATTAAATTCTATCCATCCCCCCTTTGCACAGAATCTCTTTGAATGCACTTTCTTCATTAAATTTTCATGAGAAACATCACAATGTAACAGATTCAAATAGCCAGAGCCGTTACACGTTGACAGTTGTGGCTTGTTTCCAATTTGACTGTCAGGTATTTGGCAATACAACTCAGTATTCAACATAAAACAAACTGTAGAAATAATGAAATTTCTAATTGGAAAGCTTATCTCCGTGGGTGTAGTTTAGAAGATGTTAATTGCTTTTTTCTTCATCCTCTACATTTATTAGTGATTTATATAAAACTGCCTTGACCATTTGATAACATCAATTTTGACAGCTCCTCAAATGTGTGGTACCAGAAACTTGGGAATCAAATCAATATCCTTAATACCTTAACCACACAAACTTTCACAGGAAAAAGCAGCTAGCAAAAATTAACAAACTGTCAATATGCTAGTAGCTTTAAACTTTTACATGAGGTGAAAAGAAAAACATTTTGTCCTATTCATTAATGTGCTCATTAAGCTTTAAAGTGCCTTACTTATCACTGTTCCATATTAATATTCAATCATGCAGAATTAGCTACTAATTCATCAACAATTTAAATCAGACTTGACCTTCACAAAGCCATTTGGTCTGTCATTTTGAGAGGCCATTAAAGGGCAGATTACTACATACTTGTGCTTAGTGAATCATAGAGTCATACATATTTTGTTTGGAATGGCAGCTATAATAGACCTGGAAATATAGCACATTCTTTGAATCTGTTGGTGTCTTAATGAAATATGCTGATACGAAACTTTCAGTTCCATTAAGGAAAGAGAAAAAGGAATGTGAGCATTTTTCAGAGTTAACTTCCCATTGTTGTAGAATTTGTTAACAACCCTGACCTACCCAGGACTTGAAAGGAACGAATTTATGAGGAAAACAGTCTGACATTGTTTTGTAGGTAGTCATGCCTTACATATCTGTGAATGATCAAGTAATAGGTTTTGCATAATTTCCTCAGTTAAACTGTTTTCATTGTTCATGCATAAACAATATTAATGATGCTCTTACTTTCACTCCACTTTCACAAACACTGAATCTCTTCTTTGAAAGGAAGCCAGGAAATTCTAAATTGCCTGCTAAGGCTACAGGCCCCTTCCAAGGTGGTCCTAAGTAGCCCTTCTTGCCTAATCTTGCTAGGGCTCTTGCTGCGTGAATTCAACCAGACTAGTCCTTTGACTCTAATCCCAACTGATTTAAATAAGTCTTTAATAAAGAACTGTTTGCCATGGTCTTTGGAAAAATCCCAATTTTTAAGATTAACACAAATATGTTTATGAAGAAAAAGCATGTCAATTACATCAACGGTATGCTTCTTCAAGTGCAGTATTTAAAAATTTGGCAAGTATACTTGAACACTTAGATATCATTGACAATACAGAGGTTTTGGCAATAATGGCAGTACAATAAAACAAAAACACAATGTGGATGAAGAGACAAGCAGCTGTTATCATGAAGCATTCATCCCTTGGAATTACTTTTCTAAGTTTCAAACAGTTCAGAGTAGCTCGTCTTTAAAAGTCCCCAACTACTGTTATCAATAAACCCTAATAATAGTCAATATATAAGTGTGAACTCTTACAAGCTCACAGGAGGGGGTGGAGCTATTTGTTATTTCCTTTGTAACCTTTTCAATGTTCAACAAATACTCACAATTAGACATTTTTA